AAAAACATCAAAAAATAAGCCGGGTATGGTGGCACATGCCTGTAGTTCTAGCTACTTGGAAGGCTGAGGTGAAAGGATCACCTGAGCCCAGCAGGTTGAGCCTGCAGTGGCCGTAAGCATGCCACTGCACTCTAGCCTGGGCGACAGTGAGACTCCGACTCCAAAAAAACAGGCAAGGTTGGGAACTGTTCCAGGCCATCCTAACAATGGGGACACAACCTCAATGTGCAAAAATGTGAGTCTGAAGGGCCTTGGGGCACTTTTCTCTCCCTGCCTTCCCCTCCACAGAAGAGGAAAGGAGGCCACCCTCTGCCATGAGCCGTTGCTGTGCCCCTCTGCAGGAGCAAGCCAGTCATGCCACCAGCACAACCCTCCAGTGCAGTCTAGCTTTCTCCTCTCACAGGAGTAGGGTGGCCGGGAGGGAGAATGTCTTGCTCTGCCTCCCAAGAGACAGGATGTTATCTCTGCTCTCAAATCAGAGCTCATGGCTAAAACTTGCGGGTTGAGAGGCCTTCACTCATCGATTAATCAGTTAATGAGGACCAAATGTACCCAGCCTGCTGAGTAGTTCTTAAAGGGTCTAATTCAGGAAGCCTGGGGTCTTGGTGGCCCCTCCAAGGCCCACAAAGCCTCTTCTTGCTCTGTGTCCTCAACCCTCCTTTCTAGACAAAAGCGGAAGAAAACATACTCACCGGTTCCCAAACGAAGGCTGAGCCAGCTTCGAGGCGGAGACCCGTATTTTGTTGGGACTGAATTCATGCCCGACTTCTGTGGAGGTGCCACCCGGCCTGGCCCTCCAGCCCCGGGCCAACACCACAGGCTGCTTCGGTCAGACGCAAGTCTCTGTCCCTCTCTGTCCAGCTGCAGTCACAACACAGTATAGCTTCTCCCAGTCTCAGCCCCAATCTCAATTTCTCCAGCTGAATCCGTCTGCACAGAAAACCACGGCGCTCTCCGCCCCTGCCAATTCGCTTCCCCTCCGACACAGGTCCCCTGGGCGCTGTATATTTTAACGTATGGACCTCGTAGCCGCCGCTCACACTGTGTTTCCTTGTTGGTGGTTTTCTCCCCCTTGGATTTTCCATTCCCCAGAACCCATTCGCTCCCTGGATCAGGCTTCGCACACCGCTGGCTCCTCCGAGGTGCGTCCCTCCTTTCCCGGAAAGCAAAGCCACGGAGACCGGGGTCTCTGCAGCTCCACAGCCAGCGGGAGCCCCTCTGCTAGACTCCACGGCTAGGAGGAAGGCCTGAGAGTTTGATGGCTTCTCCCAAGCAGGCAGATATGCTGGTCACAGCCCAGAGACCAAGAGAATCCCAAAGCCTTAAAAAAACCCAAGCCAGTCTGCTGAGCACCACCACGGCCTCGGGGCCAGTTACCATGGTAACCCTTGGCTTCCCAGCCCAGCACATGTCTGCACAGATCAGCTCTTTGCTGATTCCCAAGACTTTGCTTACTCAGCTCCTGGGACGGCCGGCGGATCAGTCCTGCCGCCCCAGACTCAGTGTGTCTCCTTTCAGACCCCACCCCCAGTCCACTCTTCCTGGCAAAGCCTCAGGAATACACGATGCAGCAAAGTCGTTCTGAAGAGGCCCTGATCATCACATGGGCCTCCCGCTTCGCACACAGATGGCCTCAGTATTTATTTTAGCCACTGTTCAGGCTGGGCTTGCCAGCCAAGTGTGTCCTCTCTGCCGGGCCCAAGCCCATGAGGTTAGATAAGCCCAGAGGGCTGAGAGGTGGGTACTGGCACAAACCCCGCGGGAGTTTTAAAATGTAAACTCTTCTGGGAGCAAAACCCTATTTCTTAATATACTTCCAGACAGTCCAGAAAGGACATAGCACCATCTCTTAACTTACAAATGGACCAAGTCAGGAAAATTAAACTCTCACTTGAGCTTCAAGTCAGTGACAAGTGAAAGCAAAATAAAATAGTAAAACTTAAGAAAAAAAACACTCCTGCTGCACTCAATACTGAGATGGGAAACCACAAGCATTTGCTAGTATCTCCTAAATGCTGCCTGCTGACACCCAGATGTCATCAACCTTTCAATACTTGTTTCCCCGTTCCAATTTTTTTGCTGCCATAATTTCTTCTAAGCAAGTAAGTAACTTCTTGGAATAAAACAGTCTACCCACCTGCATAATAATACAATTACACACAGTTAAAATCATATTCTTAAAAATATTTAATGATAGAAGTTCACATTAGCTGCAAAGGGCTGGGGAGAAATCATACATGCATGGGACAGCTACTTTGTAAAAAACACGTGAATGGCAACACACCAGCGACACAGCTGCAGAGTATCCACAGGGCTCATCTGGGTGGCAGGGGGCTTTAGGATTCTTTCCTTTTTTTTGAGTCGAAGTCTCACTGTCACCCAGGCTAGAGTGCAGTGGCATGCTCACGACCACTGCAGCCTCAACCTGCTGGGCTCAGGCGATCCTTACCTTCAGCCTTCTAAGTAGCAGGAACCATAGGTGTGCACCACCACATCTGGCTAATTTTTAATTTTATCGTAGAGATGAAGTCTCACCAAGTTGCCTAGGCTGGTCTCGAACCCCGGGGCTCAGGCAATCCTCTCGCCTCCACCTCTTAAAGTGCTAGGATTACAGGCATGAGCCACCATGCCCAACTAGGATTCTTTCCTACATGTGAGCTGCTTAGAAAACATTAAAGGCAATGAATGGGAATGTCTGACGAACTTCCAGGAGGGGTAATACATGGTAGCTGTAGGCCCTGCTACACAGGGTTCCCTGACAACAGGGGTAGCAAGAACCATGCTAAGGTGAACCTGCCAGAGGCAGGATTAATAAGCAGATGTGGACGGCACATTTCATGTCTCTTCATTCCAACGTGTCTCTGAGGAAGATGTCATGGTACCTGCCTTGAAGAGCTTACCACCTAGTCTGAGCCAGGCCACGCACTCAGAGTAACTGACCATTTCCTACATGCCAGCGACTGTGGTAAGCCTTTTGCAGACATGACTTCACTCACTCCTCATCCAAGAACCCTGAGAAAAGAATAATCACCACATCCCAAGGCAAGAAAAAGGCTAAAGTTAAAGATCTTTCTCAAAGTTACACTGGTAGCAAGTGGCAGAAACAGAATTGCCAACCAAACATTAAAAAAAAAAGCCTGGGTAACTTGGTGAGACCTCATCTCTATAAGAAATTTAAAAATTAGCCAGGCATGATGGCGCTTGCCTGTGGCTCCAGCTACTTGGAAGGCAGAGGTGGAAGGATCACCTGAGCCCAGTAAGTTGAGGCTATAGTGGCCGTGAGTGTGCCACTGAACTCCAGCCTGGGTGACAGTGAGACTCCTACTCCAAAAAAAAAGCCAGGCACAGTGGCTCACATCTGTAACCCCAGCTACTTGGGAGGCTGAGGCAGAAGGATGGCTTGAGCCCAGGAGTTCAAGGCTGCAGTAGAGCTAGATTGTGCCACTGTACCAGCCTAGTCAACTTGGCAAGACCTCGTCTCTACAATAAATCAAAAAGTCAGCCAGGTATAGTGGTACGCACCTGTGGTTCCAGCTACTTGAAAGACTGAGGTGGGAAAAATCACTCGAGCCCAGCAGGTTGAGGCTGTGGTGGCCATTGAGTGTGCCACTGCACTCCAGGCTGGGCGACAGAGAGAGACTCCAACTCAAAAAAAAGAGTTCTCTGAACCTGCTCTGGCTCGGTGGGGTACACCTCCACTTCCTCAAAAAAAAAAAAAAAAAAAAAAAAAAAATCACCACCTAGTACAAAAGGAACCCTCTACCCATGCCATTTGGTCCTCACATCCTGCCTGGCAGGGCCCGACAGATTATATAACTGGCCATGGAGGGTCCTGCTGGACACAGTTCTCTCAGCCGAGTCCTGGGTCTGTCTTCTCCAAGAAGCCACCTGCAGTGAAGCCCCCCAAAACCACAATCCAAGGCACTTGAAGGGCCTGTTCAAATGTCCCTCTCCCTTTTTTTGAATCCCCAACTTCAAGTGTTGGTCACAGAGGACACATGTATTACCTGCTTCCAAAACCTGCTAGTAGGACAGACTGGAACAAGTGAACAATTTTTGTGTATCAAAGAAAATAAATCCTAGAATTTTGAGACTCTTACTTGCAAATATGAGATTGAACTTTCTGTTGTTTCAATAGTCTTTATAGGTTATCTCAATCTCATCCTTTGAATGCCTGTAAAGTCACAGACATTGGTAACCAGATGGACAGCCAGCTAAGGTGGGTGGGGCTGTTGATGCCTCCAGGACCCTGCAGGGCCAATTCCATCCCCAGGAGAGATGCCTGATAAATGGCTGACAGCTCCCTCTAGGGGCAACATTTTTTCTTTACTGACTTTCTTACAGGCTAAAGAGCCCCCCAGGAGAGGCTCTCCAAATTGAAGAGCAATTTCTTCATCATCACACCATGGGATTAAACAAAAATGAAGGGCTCTTGAGCCCAAATTTTTATCTATTAAGTCCCGATGGAATGTAACAGACCAAGCACAATTAGCACAATTGCATATACAAACAGGAATAAGAACGCCCACCCAGGGCTGTGCCCACCCATGTGGGCTCCAAGGCGAGGAGCAGAACAGCCCATCCATCAAGAGCAACACCCTGTGGGTCAGTCTTCCTCCTCCCTTCTCGGGACATTTCTGTGGCGCCTGTTTCCCTGTGTCTATCCTGATTCCAATAACCAGGTCCTCGAAAGAGTTTTTGAGGAACTGGCTGTATTCTTTGTTTTAATGGCATACAAACTTTTCCCCTGTTGCTTTCAATCCCTTAGAAAACACCAGACAGCAAGTACGCGTAACAATACAGAAGACCAGGGCAAGATTCTAGCTCATGTGGCTTTAGAAGAGAAACGTTAACACTATGCAACATTCACAAGTTATACAGGAAATTCTGCTGCTACAGAGAGCACAGCTGATGGCACAAACCCCCCAAGGCTCTTGTCCTCAGGCCTGAGATCCAGCTCACTGGGGGAAAACCTTCTTCCCTTATTGGAAACATTAGGATCACTTTGTTTTTCGATAAAACCTAAATCTTGGCGGTGGTTTCTCCTTATGACTTTCTTCAGTTTCTCTTGTTCCGATCAGTCCTGATGCTCCAGGAAGTTTAAAATTGTAATCTGTTGTGACATATGGTACTGCCCCTTCGATTCCATACTGAAATGGAAACAAAAGAGAATGTATGGAACACGCTACAATCAGTTTCGAGGAGTTTACAGTGCTTCCTTCTCACCCAGAAGATAGCATTAAATTGACAGTACAGGCCGGGCTCGGTGGCTCAGCCTGTAGTCCCAGCACTTTGGGAGGCTGAGGCGAGTGGATTGCCTGAGCCCGCAGGTTTGAGACCCTCCCGGGCACCTTGTCGAGACCTCATCTCTACAATAAATTTTAAAAAATTAGCTGGGCGTGGTAGTGCGCGCCTGTAGTTCCGGCTACTTGGAAGGCTGAGGCGGAAGGATTGCCAGAGCCCAGCAGTTCGAGGCTGTAGTGGCCAGGAGCATGCCACTGCACTCCAGTCTGAGGACAAAGTGAGACTCCAACTCAAAATAAATAAATAAATAAATAAGAATAAAGTGACAGTCTAGGTAAGGACTTGTCACTCGTAATTGATCCCTTTCCTCAGAGGATTCCCTTAGAACAATTGCCCTGGTAACAAACGTACCTGTGCCTCCTTTCTGTCCCATTCCACAGACATATCCAACAGCCTGAGTGTGACTGGGTGTGGCATGCATTCCCCTCAAACATGTTAAACAAGCAGGCAGGAATATCCCCTGGCCCCTGGTCCACTTGCAGCTCCTGTGGATGGCTCTGGGGGCCACACAGACACCTTTGGCCAGCATGACTTCCCATGGATGCCCGTGAAGACTGTCCTCAGTGGGGAAGCCTGGGAGGATGCCTTTTTCTGACATACCCTAATCCTGTAGCAATGGCGCCACCACAGGGCTCTGGACCACTAATGATGGTGAATTCACGGTCTTGGGCCTTGGGGCCACCCTCACACTGGGCCTTACCTCATTCAGGATCTACCACAAGGCGTAGGTTTCCCAGACAAATAAACTGCTCCCTTGAATCCTTTCCCCACTCAACTCCTCACTTTCTGTGGACCCAGCCAAATGCCCTCCAAGGCTGTGCCTGGGGTCAGGCTCACCTGGTTCTTCAGGATGCACTGCGGAATGACAATGGCTCCGACCAGCAGACAATTCACGGTTCTTAGCTCCTCCGGGGGCACAGGAGTGAGGATGTGGTACAGTCGCTTCTCCATGTCAATGCCTCTGCAGATGCCTTAGAGACACACGCACAGCACGAAAGTCACCCTTTCTACAAAACATGAAACCTCCCTGCCACTAGAAATTGCAGAACGTCTTTATTTTTATTTATTTATTTATCTATCATTTTTTTTGAGTTGGGAGTCTCTGTCGCCCAGACTGGAGTGCAGTGGCTGCTCCCGGCCACCACAGTCTTGACCTGCTGGGTTCCGGCGATCCTTCCGCCTCAGCCTTCCGAGTGGCCAGAATTACAGGCGCACGCTACCATGCCCGGTTAATTTTTTAAAATCTATTGTAGAGATGAGGTCTTGCCTGCCCAGGCGGGTCTCGAACCTGCGGGCTCAGGCAATCCACTCACCTCAGCCTCCCAAAGGCGCAGGATTACAGGCTGAGCCACCGAGCCCCGCTGAATTTTCAAGTACTCTATCTCTTGGCTCTTTGTAGTTTCAAAACAAAACAGCTGAAATTCAAACTCTTATTGTATGTATTTATTTTTTTCTTGGCTGCTTGCTCAAGGAAGAAACTTATTTTTAAAGACATTCTGCAAAGTTGATCTATGGTCTATGTGCAACTCCTAGACTGTTCTGACAAAGATGGGCCCAGGCCAAAGGCGAACCCACCACTAGGGGGCACAGACACGACTCAGTCTCTGCCTATCTGTTCCTTCCTCAAGGTTTGTGCCAAGTGACACCACATCTGTGGAAATGCCTTTGAGAAGCATAGTGTTGCAGGCAAAGCTGAAGTGCACATTTCAGGATTTAAGGGTCTTGCTAATCTGGGGTTACCCAGTTCTAGCACCCTTCCAAACTACACACTGACCATGGACCCAGGGCTGGTGAAGGAGGCAAGGACCCACCCTTGCCTGAGTGAGGAAGCAGCAGGTTGTGGCACAGCCATAGGGGCTCAGGTCACTCCTGCTGCAGGGATATGGTTTTTTTTTTTTGGGTTGGAGTCTCACTCTGTCGCCCAGACTGGAGTGCAGTGGCCGCTCCCGGCCACCGCAGCCTCAACCTGCTGGGCTCTGGCGATCCTTCCGCCTCAGCCTTCAGAGTAGCTGGAATTACAGGCATGCGCTACCACACCTGGCTGATTTTTTGATTTATTGTAGAGATGAGGTCTCGCTGCCCAGGCGGGTCTCGAACCCGCCGGGCTCAGGCAATCCACTCACCTCAGCCTCCCAAAGGCACGGGATTACAGGCTGAGCCACCGAGTCTGGCTTAGGGATATGTTTTAAGGGAAGGTGTAAACTGGGCATGGTGGCTCACACCTGTAATCCCAGCACTTTGAGAGGCGGAGGCAAGAGGATTACCTGAGTCTAGGTGCTTGAGACTAACCTGAGCAAATTGGTGAGACCTCATCTCTACAATACATCAGAAAATTAGCTGGGCATGGTAGCGTGTGCCTGTGGTTCCAACTACTCAGAAGGCTGATGTGGAAGGATCGCCTGAGCCCAGGAGGTCAAGGCTGCAGTGGCCATAAGCGTGCCACTGCACTCCAGCCTGGCCAACAGAGTGAGACTCCAACTCAAAAGAAAAAAAGGAAGCAGATGCCACCAGACCTGCTGACAGGCTATAGGCGGAAGACAAAGGCAAGGGGAAGCTGAGGGGAGAACAGCCTTCGCCTGAGCACCAGAGTGAAGCTTCGAAGGGAGCCCGCACAGGCCTGGGTAAACGAGGAGAGGCGTGGGAGGAGGGGGGCAGGAGGACACAGATGGGCCTGGCAGGCCTCAGTTCTGCAGTGAGACGTGCAAGTGGGGATGACCACTGGGAACGTGGGTTTGGAATGCAGGTGCATGCTGTGCTGGAGGGATGCTACGGGAAGGGTAGCCTAAAGCTGTACTGAAAGCCCCAGCCATGGAAGAGACAGCTTAAGGAAAAGTGACAAGAGAGAAGTCCAGGCCCAGGTCCTGAGGAACTCTAGACTTGGAGTAGCTGGCAGGAGAAGCAGAGGAAAAGCTGCATCACTCCCGGCCTCCAGCCCGAGGCATGCAGCAAGAAGACTGAGCAGCTCTCTGGCCTCTCCTGATGAGAGAGCTGCAAGGGTAAGACGGGCTGCTAACAGAGGTGGGTCCACCTAGATGGGCGTATGGACACAGCTGACTCTCAGACTCACCAAAGCCTACACAGTCACATATGGGTGTCTGGGCAAGCAGGATGGGCCCATCTGTGTATCCTCTGACGTCATCTAGGATCTTGCAGAGGCCAACCCAGTTGGCATTCATGGCATACAATATATGGGTAGGGGCGACATCAGCATGGGTAATCCGGAGCGCAACTGCATTAAAAGGGACCTACAAAAGAAATCTGCATTTAACCCTGCTAACTTCTACTTTGAAAGATAACTTTGAATCTCCGTAAGTTGACTGGTTAGTTATCTAATGCTAGGTCTGCCAAACCACCTATCAGAAAGTATCTATAAAGAATAAAAATACTGGCTGGGCTCAGTGGCTCAGCCTGTAATCCTAGCACTTTGGGAGGCCGAGGTGAGTGGATTGCCTGAGTTTGTGGGTTCCAGACCCACCTGGGCAACTTGACGAGACCGCATCTCTACAATAAATCAAAAATTAGCTGGGCGTGGTAGCGTGCACCTGTAGTTCCAGCTGAGGCGGAAGGATCGCCGGTGCCCAGCAGGTCAAGGCTGCGGTGGCCGGGAGCGGTCATTGCACTCCAGTCTGGGTGACCGAGTGAGACTCAAACACATATACACACACACAAAAAGAATAAAAATACTGACCAGTGTTTAGTTATGGTTGCACTGCCTTAAGTCAGAGAGACCCTAAGAAATGTACACAAATTTCTTGTATACTAACAACACCTGCTAGTAATCTAAACCAAATGCCTGGAACTTTCTTGTCTACTTTTGACAATAGTAATATGAAAAACTGCAAGAGTGCTCTCTGGGTGCCACGTGCTGCTGTGAACACTCCTTGAATTCCTACATTCATTCAACGAGTTCCAGTACTAACCCCACTCTACAGATAAGAAACTGAGTCACACACAACTGATAAGCATAAGTGTGAGAGCACCCACCAGGATGGGGCTGCAGCACCATATCCAGCATGGATCCAAACTCAGTCCCAGAGCAGAGCCACAGTCAAAGCACAGGCGCTAGAGCTGGGCTCCCAAGGGTGGAATGTCAGCTCAGCCACTCGTGCTGGAGCCCTTAGTCTCTCTGCACATTAGTTTCCCCATCTAAAATGGGGATAATTAGAGAACTTACATCACAGGGTTGTTCTAAGGATAAAACGAGCAGCACATTATAAAGGGGCTAGAAGAGTACCCGAGATGCAGAAAACCACAGAAGTGTTTGTGAAGTTAACAAACCGAAGACAGTTTCTCCCACAAGTTGAGATTACCTGATAGGGTGTCAGACTATGCAGAGAACTGAGTGGTTTTGGCACTGGGGGCTGCAGCTGGCTAAGGTAACTTAACACTGCCAGATCGCGAAGCATTCTGTTAAACGTATCTCTGAAAAGCAAATGAGAGCAAGGTAAGCAGAGATGTAACCCTCCACGGTCATCCCACTCAGAAGTAAAGCATGCTTGTCACCACACAGACTACAAGTACACAGGCTGGGCTTAGCTTCAAGATACCTCCACCTCAGATCTGCAGGCACTGCCCTGACAGATCCCAACTAGAGAATCTGGAGTGTTGGCTAGGCTCAGTGGCTCAGCCTGTAATCCCAGCACTTTGGGAGGCCGAGGCGAGTAGATTGCCTGAGCCCGTGGATTCGAGACCTACCCAGGTAACGTGGTGAGACCTTGTATCTAAAGTAAATTTTTTATATTTTTTTTTAATTTTCTTTTTGAGTTGGAGTCTCACTCTGTTGCCCAGACTGAAGTGCAGTGGCAGGCTCCCAGTCACCGCAGCCTCAATCTGCTGGGCTCTGGCAATCCTTCTGCCGGTCAAGGCTGCAGTGGTCAGAGCGTGCCACTGCACTCCAGTCTGGGCGACATAGTGAGACTCCAACTCAAAAAAAAAAAAGAAAGAAAGAAAAGATAATCTGGAGTGTAAAGATTCTCCTTTAAGTCAAAGCTCTTGGCAACCTGAACTGGAGACCACTTTTGGATATTTCCAGGGAAAATAATTGTTTAGAAAATAACCGATTCTCCTTTGTAAATGCATGGCTGTGACAAAAATGTGAAAAATTTTAGAGGACTTAGTTCTTTTTTTTTTTTGAGGTGGAGTGTCACTCTGTCCTGGCTGGAGTGTAGTGGCATGCTCACAGCCACCACAGCCTCAACCTGCTGAGCTCAGGCAATCCTTCCGCCTCAGTCTTCCAAGTAGCTGGAACTACAGGTTCACGCTACCACACCCAGCTTATTTTTTATGTATTTATTGAAGAGATGAAGTCTTGTCAAGTTGCCCGGGCTGGTCTCGAACCTCTGAACTCAGACAATCCTCTCACCTCTGCCTCCCAAAGTGCTGGGATAACAGGCTTAAGCCACTGTGCACAGCTCACTTTTTTTTTCCTGAATCAGAGTCTCACTCTGTCACCCAGGCTAGAGTCCAGTGGCACGCTTATGGGCCACCCCAGTGTCGACCTGCTGGACTCAGGTGATCCTTTCACCTCAGCCTTCCAAGTAGCTGGAGCTACAGGAGTGCGCCACCACATTCAGCTAATTTTTTGATTAATTGTAAAGATGAGGTCTCACCAAGTTGCTCAGGCTGGCCTCGAACCTGTGGGCTCAGGCAATACTCTCACCTCGGCCTCCTAAAGTGCTGGGATTATAGGCATAAGCCACCATGCCCAACATAAGATTCTGTTTTTTTAAGAAATTGAGAACAAAATGCCTCATTCGATGGAAGAACGTATTTCTTCAGCCAAATAACAGTTATTTACCTACTTCTTGCAGTTTTTCTGTGTGGAAACTCTGAGCGAACACACATCAGTTTATGTCCAGTAAACACAACTGGATTCTCTTTTTCTTCGTCAGCAAATTCCAAGATCTCTGGAAATTCGTCAAGTTTGAAACCTTGATTTTTTATCTTGGCCTTGCTTTTGGTGTACAAGCCATCCATGTCATCCACATACTGCGGGGTGAGGTTGGGCATGTATTTACTCTGGCTACAGCTAATCTGAACCACATGGCTAGGAGATAGCAATCGGACCAGATCAATGAGAAGCAACAGCCCTTGGTCTGCGAGGAAGGAGACAACATTAGCACAGTTGATAAACTCAAGAAAATGACACATTCCTACAAGACACAGGACACTTATTCTAAGACAATAAACAATCAAGAAGATGGTCTTAAAAACTGGGCTTTGGCTGGGCGTGGTGGCTCAAGCCTATAATCCCAGCACTTTGAGAGGCCGAGGCAAGGGGATTGCCTGAGCCCACAGGTTCGAGAACAGCCTGGGCAACATGGTGAGACCTCATCTCTACAATAAATCAAAAAATTAGCCAGGCGTGGTAGCACATGTATGTAATTCTGGCTACTTAGAAGGCTGAGGCAGAAGGATCACCTGAGTCCAGCAGGTTGATGCTGGGGTGGCCATGAGCATGCCACCGCACTCCAGTCTGAGCAAAGGAGTGAGATAACAACTCAAAAAAAAAAAAATTGGGCTTCAACACAAATGCTGGAAAGCCAACAGCTCACTCATATGACCGGCCAACCCCTGCAGACATGCACATGCAGGCTTACCTGTCACCCAGCCCATCGTGTTGATGATAAGAGGGGACTCTCTCTTGTAAGAGCTAAACACATATTTTATTGTTTCAATGTAATTCTCATAGTTTTCTTTACAACAAGTTTTCCCATAATACACCATCTTCTGTGGTGTCCTCTGGTGGGTAAAAGGTGGTCCTAAAAAGATGATGAGATCATTAGTACCTGACTACTTGAAAGGGGTGAGGGTCTGTTCAACCATAATCACTAACAGAAATTCTTAGGAAATCCGAGACTGTCCTATCAGTGGGAAGAACCTTAATTCCTTTCTTGGAAGTCTAAGATCACAATTTAATACAAAGACTCACTTTCACATACACAGCTAACCCCAATTTGTCTTAAACAGTCACTTATTCAAAAAACACCTAGTAGCTGCTGGGCTTGTTTCGGATACTTGGAATATGCCTGTGAACAAAACAAATATCCCCACTCTTGCACAACTTACATCCGAATGAAAGGGCAATTAATCGCCACAGTTAACACTTATTGCACAGCACTGACTCTGGTCTAGTTATTTCACATATAGTCTCTAATTTTCATAAAACCCGAAGTAGGTAGCATTATCCTTACTTTTACAGATGAGGAAATCGAGAAAGAGATGAACTTGAACAAGGTCAGACAGTTAATAAACATCAAGCCTGACTTAACACAGGTGGCCTGGCTCCCGAGTCCACACTCCTAATCACGACACTAGTCGGTCCAGCCCAAGCCACTTCCTATCTCCTCCGGTTGGGGACAAGGAGTCGAGCAGTTTAATGAGGCCAGGGCCAGCAGTCAGCAGGTCAGTGACCAAGACCACATGGCAACAGGGTCAGCAGGGAGAGGGCCTGGGTCAGCATGGTTGCTGCAGGGCCACCTGGAACAGAATCAACTGGCCATGTGGCCAGTAAGCCCAGAACTTGGAATTCAGCTGGTAAGGATTCTCTCAAGGTTAGGGTGAACAAGGCCAGGGATAGGGGGCATCAGCTGCCGAGGGGGGTGGCCCATGTGGTCAGGAGATTGAACAAATACAGAAAGACTGAAATTTACTACAAATAATCATAACCAGGTTTCTTACCAGCAGAGAAAGAACTTAGAAATATGAAAGTGAGGAAGGGTAACTAGAACAAACCCTGGACTGTCAGGCTAGAATCAGAATGACAAACATAAATTCATGGCTGTAGGCCGGGCTCGGTGGCTCAGCCAGTAATCCTGTGTTTTGGGAGGCCAAGGTGAGTGGATTGCCTGAGCCCGCAGGTTCAAGAACTGCCTGGGCAACTTGGCGAGACCTCATCTCTATAATAAATCAAAAATTAGCCAGGCGTGGTTGTGTGCGCCTGTAGTTTCAGCTAGTTGGGAGGTTGAGGTGGAGGGATCGCTGGAGCCCAGCAGGTCAAGGCTGCGGTAGCCGGGAGCGGCCACTGCACTCCAG